TTTATAAATGGGGAGGGGAGCAGGGAAATGGGGAAAAAAAACAAGTTATTTCATATACAGGGTACAAATTCTCTAGGATGAATGTGATTATTATGGATATGTTTAGATATATAAATATATATCTAAAATATACCAATAAAATCTGATTAAGAAATAAATTACAAATATTAAAAATAAAAATTTATGACATTATAAGACCATAATAACACAGACACTGCCATTAATATTCCTCTAACTACTCCCCATACTTATCCCATTGTTCTTGCCACTTTCTGAAGTAGTGCTGGAAGTCACCTTTTGTATCTTTACAAAAATATGAATGCTGCTGCCAAAGGTCATTCAACAGAAAAGCAGACTTGTGAAAACATTATAGTGCATCCTCATCCATTTTATTCACCAAATCTGACACTGTGCGACTTCTGGATTTTTCCCAAAGTCAAAATGAGTGCAGCATCAAGACAGCTACAGTAGTGCAACTAAAGACACTCACAGAAAAGGGCCTGTAGAACTATTTCAGAAAGTGGCAAAAATGATGGGATATATGTATTCAAAGCAAAGGGGAATATTCTGAGGGATATTAATGGCACTGTGTCTTTTACCATAATAAATATTTCAACATTCACTATATTTTCTTATTACATCTCATACACACGAGGCCCTAGAATCAATCTACAGTACTGTGGAGGTAAAAAGAATATAGCAACCCCTAATTCCACATACTCTATTTGATAGAATTCTTTCATGTGGAGTTTGTCTGATGCTTTTGCATGATTTGACTTATATGAATTTCCAGCTGGGAATCTATGTAATGACATGTCCTTCTTCAGCTATGAACTATTCATCTGCCCCTTACTTGGAGAGATTATTTTTAATCACTTGGTCAACAAACTTTCCAAATCCTCTAGCACAGTGATAATGAACCTTTCAGAGCCCATTTGCCAAACTGCAACCCAAAAGCGCCAACACTGCAATTAAATCTGAATATTGCAGTTTTAGTTTAGAAAAAACAACTCTACATTAACATCTACCTTAAAAGAAAAGTAACATGTGTGCCATAGGTTCATCACCACTGCTCTAGAATGTATTTGCTAACTTTTTCTCTTACTGCTAAGGGACACTTTAAGACCTTGAAAATACCCTGCTCATGAAACTGTCCCCCTTTATATAACACCCAGGGATGATTCTTCCCTGATTCAATTACAAGAGTTGAAAAATGATGATTTTTCTATCTCCAACATTCCTCCACATATACTACTCACCACTTGGAAGTCTATGGAGTGAAGAACATCCCCTTCCCTTTATTGATATATTGATTTATAATTAGAAAGCACTCACAGGTTCCTGATTCAGCTTCTATTTCTCTTTCCCAAGCCCTGAAACCAACTATTTCTCAAGGATCCCTGGTTCTTCTACTGAATCCTTCAGCTTTCCAGCATGCATTCCTCCACAACTGACTCCACAGCTGGCTATTTTAAGCTAAACTTATAAATGCTTTATATATTGCATATATATACATTTTTACGTACATATAAAATATTAAATCTGTTCCTCTCGTGAACCGTAACTGATACAACCGATAATTCACAACCATCCCAAGATTCTTTCTCATTTCGTCCTGTTTCATATTTATATTTCTCCTGTGTCATCATTAGAGTCTTGGCTCCCAAGATATTTACTCACTTGCTCAGTCCTCTAATGTGTCTACAAGAATTTCAAAACTTCCTGCATATCAACTATTAAAATAATCATAATAAAAGGACTCAAGATTTGTCTGAAGTTTTTTCTTTCTCCTGCCAATGCTACCCACAACTCAGAGCAGTCAAAATTGTACTCAAAGGCAACCTGGATTAGTTCTTTTTATATTGGAGTGCAGTTACTATGCTTGATACATTGTGTCAACTTGAGGAGTCTAGAAGCTTAACTAAATAACTCAGCAGTTCTACATCTTGGGGTGAAAAGGACATGCCCTTCCTGTTCTAGGATGTTGTTCATTGTGTCAACTCCAGAAGTTTAGAAGGTTAACTATGTGACTCAGCAGGGAGCCAGGGTCTTTACTTTGTATTCATCCTGAGCCTCTGCAAGAGGAGGGCCTGGAGATGGTGTGGGCTTGGGCCAACAGCCTGCAATAAAATATAAGGAGGGAAAAGAGGCTTGCTCCCCTCCCCTTTTTGCTCTTGCTTTCCCAGTCCCCAACCTTGGAGCCAGCTGATTATAGACTGAAACCTCCACAAACTGTAAGCTAAATAAAATTTCTTTCCTTAATTTTGGTCACTGGGTAGGTATTTTGTCTCAGCAAGGACAGAAGAGTAACCAAGATATATATTCACTTAAAATACAACTGCAGACAAAAGACAAGGACTAGATTTACCCTTGAGGGAGAAAAGAGGAGAGGGAAGGGAGCAAGAGAGGGAGGAAAGAAAGGAAGGGACTTGGGAAGGAGGAAGGAAAAAGGGAAGAGAGGTAAGATAAAAGTTAAAGAGGAGGGAGAAAGGGATGGAAGGATGAAAAGAAAAGAGAGGAGGAAAAAAAGACAAAATATACAAAGCAAAGGTTTTTAATCCACTGGACAGTAGTCAAAGACAAAGAGTGATCCCTCAAACACAGAAAACAGAAGTGGTTACACTTGCCCCAGCACACTGCCAAGATGATTCTTGCAGGGTATGGAGCTTTCCAGGGAAGGAGCCTAAATGCAATCCAGTGAACTGCCTGGATAAGAGACCAGGGAGACCAAGGCAGAAAAGACAAAGTACTGGATGCAAAGTGCTACACAGCGAGAACCCTAGAGATCTGCAGAAGGTCCCTAGAGTATTCAAAAGAACACATCAATAAATGTACATGAGGAAACAACATGAGATTAGGAAAAATATCGTATTTCCAACTAACTTTATTGTCTCAGAACAATGCTCAAGAAGATTTATACAATACAAAATTATTAGCATACACAAAGGTAAAATTCAGAATATCTGCCATCCAATTAAAGATTACTGTTTATGCACAGACAGGAAAACATTCCTCATGCCAGTAGGAAGAAAATAATCAACCACACAAAACTAATCCAGAACTCATTCCAACATGGATATTAGAATTAGCAGAAAAAGACATTAAAATAGTCATTACAAATGAATTACATATCTTTTAAAAGTTAAGTATAACTAGGGATGGTGGTACATGCTTGTAATTCCAGCACTCTAGAATAGGAGGCTCTCAAATCTGAGCCAGCAGGAGGCTCCCAAGTTTGAACTCAGCCAGACAACTTAGATGCTATCTCAAAACGTTTAAAAAAGGGCTTCAGATGTATTTTGGTTTGAAGGTCCCACATTCAATCCCCAGTACCACCAAAAAAACCAAAAAACAAAACAAAAAAAACTCTTCTAGCCTATTACAATGCCTGACATGAAAACAGGGTGAATGGGATTAGAAGCAAATTAGATACTGCAGAAGTTAATGAATTTGAAGGACAGCACAGAAACTATATGAGAATAACAGAAAGAAAGTAGAATTTTTAAAAACTGAAATGAGAATTAGTGAGCTGTGAAGACCATTTTTTAGTATAATATACATGTTACTGTAAGACAGAAAAAATATTTGAAGATATAATGGGTAAAGAATTTCCAAATTTCATAAAAACCATCTAAGCAGTTCAACAAATCCCAAGCTCAAGAAACACAAAAAATACACCTAGTTTTTAAAAAGAAAATAAAAATACACCTCAGTATAGCATAAACAAGTTGTTTTAAACCATTTGAAAAAAAAAATCTTAAAAACAACTAAAATATAAAGAAATGTTACTTATGAAAAAAGGATGTCACCATATTTCTAAGTGAAAACACAGAAGCAAGAAGATGGTAGAAAAATATCTTCAAATGATAGACTTATACATGATATATTTCAAAGCAGCTAGAAGAGTACAAAATTCCCAACACATAGAAATGCATGATGTTCGAAGAGATAGAAGTGCTTATTACCCTGATTTGATCATTACATATGGTATAGATTACATATGGTACCAGATTACTGTACTGTACCCCATAAAGATATACAAATATTTTATCAATAAAGTATATATTTTCAGTCACACTAAGGTTAGAATGATTCCAATGATAAATGAGCTTTTATTGAGAGCACTGAGGTAACATACTTATTTTAAAGTTATTTTTAAAATGTTAAACCCACACAATAGAGGGGCTTAATTTATGAAAACGTGGAAGTGATACAATTTAATAACAAAATAACAAACATTTAAAAATTACCACATAAGGAATGCAAAATTAAATTTAAAAAGACACTTTATAAAGACATTTACCTTTTCACATGTATGATATTTGCTCTCTCAGTTAACTGAAAGGTCTTTGAGGGCAAAAATTATGCCCATATTTGATACCTCTTAAAATCCTACAAGAATATCTGACCTATAATAAAACAGTAAATATTTGTTGTGGGCAGCTACTGAAAGTAAAAGGCCGTCAATCTGGAAATCTACAAACTACAAACAGATTTCTTCAAAACAAAGGTGAATGAAGGATCTTTTCAGACACAAAACCATGAAGAAATCATCACCAGCAGACTCACGACACATATGCGTGCACACACACAGACACCTAAGACACACATCCACGATATAACAACTAAACAAGAAGTTGGTGCACTGCTCTTCTTCAAGTAGAAGGATAACCAGGCTTCAGGAACAAAGATTTTTCTCAGAAAGCCTTCAATTTCAACATTCTTTTCTTGGGCAATGTGTACTTGGGCCATTAATCCTATCCAGTGTATTTTCATCTAGGATATATTTTTCATCTCTGGACTTGTTATGTACTCTAAATTTTACCACAGTCAAACAAATATACCAATCCTATTTTCTATGTAAATTACCTGGGCTCCTACTAACAAGCTGTTTAAAGATATTCTATCAGTAAAACTTTTATTCTTTACAGTTTAGCTAGTTAGAATATAAATAACGACCCACAGAAAATCCTAGCTGAAGAATACAGAACAAAACCTACCCTGAGTTGTGAAATTGCAGCTTTCCCTTCCTCACTTTCTTCATCAAATTCATCATCACTCCACTCCCAGCCTCCATCCTCTGTCTTATGAAGACGACCACTGGACCCTGGTACTCTCCGGACCTGCTCATTAGAAGACATGGGTTATGTGGTCTACCTTTACTAAACAGGAAAGTTTCTCTCCCTTCTATCACTTTAACCAATGAACTACGTAGCTATTATCCTCCTAAGTAAACCCATCCCTCACCAGCTCTCTATTCCCAATGTCCACTATGTCCTTAGTCACAACATTCTATAATCTGAATCCCAACAGTGTAAAATACTCATGTGAAGTCACAGGTCAAATCTGATTGTTTTAATGGCCTAAGGCATTTAAGGAAACGGGGGGGGGGGGGGGGGCAATGTGAATCCCCCAAAATAAACCCAAGAAGTATGCTCTTTTCTCTTTAATTTTTAAGTAACAATTAGACTTGCATATAGCTTCAACAGTATTTGAGCTACGAATCTTTTGTTAAGAAAACAGCAATTTCTAACCTCCATCTTCCCCACAGGCAACCACTTTTAACTCATTTTAGCTTATTCTTTTCAATTTGTACACATCCCTCCAATGTGTGTATAACATTACTCCTTGCGTTTTGTTTTGTTTTAGGAATTACCTATGGAACTCCCACCTACAGAAGACGAGAATTTAACTTTTTTTTTTTTTTTTTGGTTTTTTTCCGGTACCAGGGATTGAAGTCACAACCTTGCACTTGCTGGGCAGGCACTTTTCTTGATGTATTATAATTTTGGTTAGATCAATATTTGGTGTTTTCTTAGCACAATTCTATATAAGCTACTCACTGCTGAACCCTACTGTATAGGGCTCTTTGATGTGTGTCTTTTTTGTTAACCTCAAGCTTACTATCTATTCTCTCAGCTGGAGAGATCTCCTCTTATCACATTCTGTTAGTGCCACCTTCCTGAAAAAGTCCTTCCTTGGCCGAGCGTGGTGGCGCACGCCTGTAATACCAGCACTTGGGAGGCTGAGGCAGGAGGATCGTTGTGAGTTCAAGACCAGCCTGGGCTACATAAGTGAGTTCAAGGCCATCCCGAACTGCACAGCAAGACCCTGTCTCAAAAAGACAAAAAAAAAGTCCTTCCTTAAGGAAGCTCATTTTACTACTCTAAGTTGCCCTTAGTCTAACTCAGAGTGGCCTGAGCCTTGATCATTTTTTGGTATAAAAACTTCGAGACATAGAGTCCACTTGGCAACGGGCTTTCAGGTCCACTCCCAACTCTTGAGAGCTATTTCTCTCTTCTTAATAAACATTCCTCCTTTGTCTTTGACTTCAATCATTGATTTTATGAGATATAAACCCTGACAACACAATTAATTAAAACCAGACATTTCTAAACAACCCGATTCCATCACCATACTTCATTCATGATCTGGTTTGGGGTGAGAAAACAAAAAAGTCTAGAAATCAATTTTATTTCACGCTGGATGCAGTGGCATACATGTATAATCTCAGCACTTGGGAAGCTGAGGCAGGAAGACTAAATGTGAAACTAGCCTGGGCAAATTAGCAAGACTGCATCTCAAAAAAATGACCATTTTATTTCATAATTTTAAAGATAAATACTTTCACTGTGACCTAGCACAGGTATTACTGAATGTAGATGACTCCTGATCTTGTTTATGACATTTCGTCTCCTCTCTGGAAACCTATAGGATCTTCTTTCTTCCCTTCAGTATTGACTTATCACAGTGCACAGTGCATTATTAGGATTCACCTATTTTTATCCACTGTGCCAGTACCTTGAGTACCTAGGTACTCTTTCAATCTGGAAACATATGACTATTAGTAGTGGAAATCTTTCTCAACTTCTCTTTTCAATGATTTCCTTTTTCTGTTTCTCTCACTTCTGGAAATCTTTTTGCTCAAGTGAACTCTCTCAAATGATCCTCTACTATTTTCATCCTTTCTCTTCTGATACCAACTTCTAGGCTTTTGGGCTCTCCTTTCTGGGAAGTTTCCTCAACTTTATCTTACAAACTTTGTATTAAATTTTTTTTCACTTATATATTTTTTAATTTCTATGAGTTGTTTGTTTCGTTTGTTTGTTTGTGACAGAGTCTTGTTATGCAATTCAGGCTGGTCCTGAACTCACTATATGGACCCTGGCCGGCCTCAAACTTACAGCGATCCTCCTGCCTCAGCCTCCCAAGGGCTGGGATTATGGACATGCACCACCACATCCAGCTCTATAAGCTTTTTGTTGATGGTAGTAATATTTTCTGAAAGTTCATTTGAAAAATAATACTGCTATTGACATATTTGATATATAATAAAATCGGGCCACTAAAACATTACAATCCAATGATTTTTTGTATAATCAGTTTTGCAATCATCTCTGTAGCCAAATTTAGAACACTGTCATCACTGTCCCCCAAATACACCACAGCCATTAGCAGTCAGTCCATTTTTCTCTAACCATCCCCAGCCCTAGACAAACCACTATTCTTCTTTACATCTATACATTTGCCTATTCTGAATATTTCATACAGGTAGAATTATGTAATTCATGCTTTTTTTGTAAGTGCCTTTTTTTGCCAGCAAAATATTATTAAAGTTCATGTTGTAGCATGTGTTAGTACAGATGATCCTAGACTTCTGATGGAGTTGTGTTCCAATAAACCTGTAAGTTAGATACAGTGTAAGCTGGAAATCCCTTTAACCTAATGGAAATCCCTAACCTAATGAGTATCATAGTTAATAACACTCTACCAGGTGCTTCCTCTCACAACTGCAAGGCTGACGGAGCTGCAGCTCACTGCTGCTACCCAGCGTCTTCAGGGAACAGGACTACATACTTTAGCATACTTTAGGAAAATAAATTTGCAGTACGGTTTCTGCTCACTTTCACACAATCATAAAGTCAAAAAATTTTTAAGTCAAAACATCTTAAGTAGAGCATCTCTGTACTTCATTTTTTTACTACCAAACAATATTCATTGCATGAATGCAGCATATCTTACATAATCCATTCATTACTGGATGAACATTTGAGTTGTTTCCACTTTTTGGTTATTATAAATGATGGTGTCTGGAAGTAAATAGTACTACTAATTCCCTTACCTTGTGGGGGCTGTGTTGCATAAGGTAGCTTCTTAGCTTTCTTTAGTGCTGGCTTAGCATTTAAACTCCTCTAACTTACCAAGTCCTCTTAATCTTGGCAAATTGGTTGCAATTTTCATATCTATTCTCTCACAATTTGGGAAGCCTATCAATTTTCTTTTTATTCTCTTACTAGTTCTTTTAACAAGCAGAGAATGGAAATAAATGTAAGTATTCACAGTGCTATCTTTTTGAACCTCACTCTTAAATGACTACAGATATTCAATCAACTCCAAACAGATACTAAATCACCTCAGTTGGAATTCACTGCAAACAACTATGAACATCATTTAGTATGTATTCAAATTATTTGGAGAAAACATAGCAATGAACAAAAGCTCCTGTTCTCATTAAGTTTGTTCTACTGGTAGAAATAGAACAAAACATCTGCAAAATATGAGATGGTGATAAGCTTATTAAAGAAAAATTTTTAAAAAGGAAGGAAGAGAAAACAGTGGGAGGGAACTATTTCAGTTAACGTAGTCAGAGAAGACTATTCCAAGAAAGTGCTACTTGTGTGAGAGCTGACTTGAAGTGGACGAATGAGTCCAGTGAGTGTTTAAGCAAGTGGCTACCCAGGACAGTAATCTTCCAGGCTCCATGCCCCAGGGATTTACTTTCAATCAGTTTGGAGTGACACTACTTGTGTTTCTTTTCTTTTTGTTTTTCCAGTCCCCTGGTGACTCTGATGTGTAACCATGAATAGTAAGCACTGATAAAAGGAAGAACATCCCAGGAAAAAATATAGCAAATGAAAAGATTTTTAGGTGAGAGAACTTCTAATTGGGAGGTGGAATAAATGAAGTATAGGAAAACAGAAAACAGTAGTTTGTTGGTGCTTCTACAGAACTCCTCAGAAAGGAAAAATGGCCCCTAATAACTACATTTGAGCGATCACATTTGTGGAAAGCTACATCTCTAGGGTAGAGACAAATTAATTGTGCTCTTAGTATTTAATAAAAATATAATTTATTTAGTATTTAATAAAAATATTTAGTATTTAATAAAAATATAATTTCAAAGTATTTAATATACTTTTATGGCTCTTTATAAAGCAAAACTTTCTGGGTAATATCGTAATTCCAAAAACTGAGATTTATCAAAGAGAATAAGCCACTATTAAAATTACTCTCGCTTCCTGACTAATCCTACCACTGTCCGAATTACATTGAAGTATAAGAGTTTTACCTTCTGTTTCAAGTCTGTATCGCCAGACACCTCATTTCCTTCACACTGAATAAGACTGCTTTGAAAAAAGAAGAGTAGGGGGAAAGGAGGATTTTCTACCTACTGGAAGGGAAAAACTCACATATTTTGTCCTGAGAATTTAATGAATTTCCTATGCTCATATTATAAGCATAGAGATTTTAGAAATTATATATTCAAGAAGGTTAAGCTTGAGACATTTCCAGCTAAACAGATAAGCTTCAGACATTTCCAGTTAAATTGAGACCATACTCAAGTGAAATAAATTGGACACACATGTTTAAGTACCACAGTTTCTCTGGCATGAAAAACCAAAAATAAAGTGAGGAAAAAAATGTGTAATAGATACTGGGAAATGGAAAGAAAATGTTCAAATGAGAAGGGGGACAAGGGAGTGGGGAGGAAAAAAGGAAAGAAAAGAAAAAAAGAATAGAAGGAAAAAACAGAAACAAAGCTTTTGTAAATGAGGGGGAGAGGCATTGAAGAAGGGAAGGGAATGGGAAAAAAAAAGAATCAAGACCACTGGGTGTGGTGGCACACACCTGTAATCCCAGCACTCAGGAGGCTGAGGCAAGAGGATCGTTGCGAGTTCGAGACCAGCCTGGGCTACAGAGTGAGCTCAAGGCCAGCCTGAACTGCACAGCGAGACCCTGTCTCAAAACGACAAAAAAAAAAAAAAAAAAAAAGAATCAAGATGTATCATGTGCAGGTACAAATTCCCTATGATGAATGTGATTACTATGTATACCTAAAATGTACCAATAAAATTTTTTTTAAATGCAAAAAGAAAAAGAAATTATATATTCATAACGAAATTCTTGTGGTCTTTCTGAAAGTTTGGAGCTAAAAAATAAAAGGATACCATGACTTACATTCAATGCTATACATGCCATATAAAAATACAACTCACTCTAGAAGTTAGAAGTAGGGGATAAATTACCTTACCAATATTGTCCAGTGTCTCTTTTTATTCTGATAGACAACAGACTAATATCCAGGCATACTATAGATTAATAATATTTGCTGAATGAATGTACCAAACAGTGTTTTAGAAGAGTTGAAAGAAAATGAGTAATATAAATTTCTATTAACAGAGTATTAATTAACATTTACTTCCAAAATACAAAAATAAAGTAAATCTACCTGAAGCAGTTTCCTAAGAAAAATGAGTTAAATCCCCATTTACCTTTTTAGCTCTTTCTGAAATGGTAGGTGCTTTCTGCAATATTTTTTCTTGAAGAAATTCTTTATTCTGGAGGGAAAAAAATAAGCATGTCTTCTCATAAGAAGTTTTATTGACTCAAAACACTGACAGAGAAAAGTTCATACACAGTACAGTAACTGATTTATTAAGTTTGATGTAAAGTCCCATCCTTTTACTCTAAAGCTTCTACAGCACAGCACTGCCAAGGTTTTATAAATTGAGACAGAGCTTCAGTGTGCTGCGTGAGTCACTGTCTATGCAAAGACTGATTTACATGTACCTTTATTAGTCTCACATTTCCAACTACTACCTTTGGAAAATGAGATATTTGCTAATTTGTTAGTAAATCTTGACATGAGAGAACAATGACAAAAATAATACTCTTTAATGCTGTAAGTTCAATCCTACCTTTAATTTATACAAAAAATATACATTTACTAAATTCCAAAGCATCTTCATTACCAAAGATTGCATATACATAGTGACCTCAACAATTACTTTATCTACCATCATTCTTCCAAACATAATCACCTTAAGAAATGCAACCTATGAGCAGTGAACATATGTTCATATATTGAGGTGCTAAAATTTCCTACCTTTGCTTTCTGGAAAAATTTGTGCCTTAAAAGTTCTGCTGCTGTTGGTCTAAAACCAGAAAAGAAAGTTTTTACAGTTAATTCAAGTGTAATATGAGTTTCCACTTTCAAAAGTGAGAAAATGATTTCTTGAGAAGCCAAATAAAAATTCAGTATATTCCACTTTACTTACCTTACTAAAAAAATAAAAATAAAAAAGTAGGATAATCCTCATACAAGACACTGAGTAGAATAAAAAACTCAAAGTAGAAGGATTCTGATAATAATTATTATAGATTCTTTGGAAAATTCATTAGTGAAATGTTGCTTCTGGAAGAATGATTTCGTAGTGGCTCTAATGTATTTTTCCTAAAAAGCTAGACAATATTTATGTAGTATTTTTACCAAAGCATAAAAAGTATATTTAAACTTATAAAGGTGAAACAGACCTAATCAAGGCCCCATTTCTTGCTATATGGTTGTTGGACAGGTTTCAAATTAAAGCAACTAAGATTCTTAAAATTAGATTTCACACTTTCCCTTAAAACACTGGATACTCTAAAAGTGAAGTAGATTCTGCAGATTTAACCACAACTCAGTTTTTAACTCAGTTATGTACAATTTTTCATAGTTCTGTAAATTCATCATCATTCTTATGAGTTTTTTAAAAAGTATCAGAATTCAGTATGCAGAATTTTACACTTAAAAATCCACACCCAATCTTATCACATACTGATCATGTAATTCTGCAAAAATCACAATCACTCCAAGGTTCATTATTATGTACCCAAGTCTCCAGAGCAACAGTTTTACTTGTTTTCTAAGGCCAGGGCCTCACATATGCTAAGCAGGTGCTCCACTACTGAAGTACCTCCCAGCCTGAGCTGTAGTTCTTAAACACCACAATGCATTAGAATATTTGGGAGGTATTTTAAAACCATCAATTAGAGCAGAATGTTTGGGAGCAAAACACAGGTAGTTTTAAAATTTCCCCAGCTAGTTCCAAAGTGCATTCAAGCTTGAAAACCAGTGTTTCTGAGATTATAAAGATCAAGAAGGTGACTATATATGAAAGTGCTATGCAAACTGAAATCAGACATTACTATACTTATTCTGCCATTCAGTCAAGATTTCAGTATGTTTCAAGAATTTTCCCAACTTAGCTTTTTCACTATTTACTCCTTTCTCCAAGGTTCATTTCTTTCTTCTAAAAACATAACTTTTATAAGAGTTAAGTGATGTGACATGACTGGAAAACTCAATTTGGGGGTAAAAAGCATCTTGCTCACTCTTGAATGAGTTTGACTAAATGGAGAATTCTGGGTCAGCAGTTATTTTCTCTCAGTACTATTTAATTATAGGCTGGCTTGAGCTGGGCTTGGTGGCGCATGTCTGTAATCCCAGCACTCGGGAGGCTGAGGCAGGAAAATCACTTCGAGTCTGAGGCCAGCCTGGGCTACAAAGTGAGCTCAAGGCCAGCCTGAAGTGCATGACAAGACTTTTTTAAAAAAAAAAAAAAAAAAAAAAAAAAAAAACCTGGATGCTGTCTCAACTGTGGTTATAGAAGTTGTTAGGTTACCTGCTATCCTTTAGTAAGTGATCTGTTTCCTAAGGTTGCACATAAGAAGCTTACAATATTGCTTAGAATTTGGAGGAGATGGATCTTTGAAGATACAGGTCTTCAATAATGGAAAATTCTCCACTAGTACTTTTTTGAATTAAGCTTTCCCTATATTCTCTCTAGTCTCTCCTGATAAATTTGTAAGTGTATATGTATATGTACGTATTTCTGTATTTACACATATACAAGTTGAGTACTACTGATCTAAAAGCCCAAAATTCAAAATACTCCAAAATGAAAAATTTTTTGTGTGCCAAGATGATACCACTTAGCATGGAAAATCTCATGCCATGTAACTTTGTTTCATGCATAAAATTATCAACAACACTGTATGAAATGATCTTCAGTATACATGAAATATGAACTTTATGTTTACACTGCCGAAAATGCTCCCCAGCCAGTATACTTCAGTTTCTAGTTGCCCAGGTTCCTGTTTCACTGGCTGCTCCTGTCTCTTAGAAACAGCTGGTCACTATGATGCATAGATGGTCACTATAAAGTATACTGTATAAACTAATCCACAGTTGACAAGCTATTCTGCCTCTGTACTTCCTGCTTGCTTATCGCATATAAGCCCTGGATCACCAGAGCTCAGTGCCTCATACTGTGGGAATGATCCCAATCAGTGCCCATCGATGTAAATAAATCTGTCTTCAAATCCTAGGTGTCATTTCAGTGTTTCTGCTTGCCACTGTACCTAAAGTTTGGTTCCACCCCCTAAAATATCTCATTACATATATAAAAAATTTCAAAATCCAAATATCTGAAATTCCAAACACTTCTAGTCCCAAGCATCTCAGACAAGGGATATTCAATGTATACAAGTACGCATATACACACATTCACAAACACAGTTTTAGTTAAACAAAGTTTAATTTTGGTTTATAAACTGAATTAAATATCCTACATTTCCCAGGTTGCTTTTCTACATACTTATTTTGAAGCAATTTCAAAATTATAAAAGAGTATCCCAGACAGCACACAGTTCCCATATGCCCTCACCAGGTTCCATTAACATTTTACATGGAAATGATATAATTATCAAGGAACTAACTAAAATATTAACAATGGTGCACACTGTTAACCAAACTACACGCTTTATTCCAATTTCTCCCGTTTTCCCAGTTTGTCTTTGTTCTGCTGCAGTACACTAATGCAGGACACTCTGTTGCATTCCATCTCCATGTCATTAGTCTCCTTGATGAATACTTGTTAGATATTTTCTAGTGTATTCATCCATTTGGGTTTGTCTGATGTTTCCTCATTATAAAATGAAGTTATAAATTTCAATCAAGAATATTTCACACTGAGTTACAACTCCAGCCATTTTTATTTTGAAACATTAAATTGCCCAGGCTTGGCTCAAACTTGTGAGTCTCCTGCCTTGGTCTCCCAGAGTACTGGGATTGCAGACAGGCACCATCATGCTTTTAATTTTTCACTTCTAACAAAGTTCTTTCATTTTTTTGTCATGTTCATGGTTTTTTCTTATGGTTTTAATTTCTATTATAATTTTAATTTTTAAAGAAGCATTATTTCAGGGTCAGGCATGGTGGTCTGTAATCCCACCACTCAGGACACTGAGGCAGGAGGATTGCTCTGAGTTTAAGGTCAGGCTACAATGTGAGTTCAAGACCAGCCTAAACTGCACAGTGAAACCTTGTCTCAAAAAAAAAAAAAAAAAAAAAGACCAAAAAAAAAAGAAGAGTTCTTTCCACCTGGGGACACAGGTCAGTGACAGAGCACTTCCCTAGCATGCACAAGGCCTTGGGTTCAATCCTCAGCACAGAAAGAAAAAGAAAAAAAAAAAAAAAAAAAATGTATTTCATAGTGTTTCAAATATCACTGCATTTTCTAAATTTCTTGGAAGTTGGGAATGGCGGCGCATGGCATGCCTGTAATCTCGGCACTCAGAAGGTTGAGGCAGGAGGATTGTTGCAAGTTAGAGGCCAGCCTGGGCTATAAAGTGAGTTCAAGGCCAACCTGAACTGCATAGCGAGACCCTGTCTCAAAAAGACAAATGAAGAACTAATCCTTTTACTTATGTCTGCCAACTCTAATTCACAGTGTATTTTTTTTTTTTTTACCATGTATTATTATAATTTTAGAATGCAATCGTATCTTCAGTAGGGGATTCTGTGCAGAAATCATGGCACCTGGAGTTTGGAAGTATTCCTTTCATGCATTTCTAATATTGGTTTCAGCCAAAAATAAAATTGCTTGGCAACATTTTTTCTTTCTTTCTACTACTGTAGTTCGTGGATAACATGGGTAGTATGAATTTATACTCTCAACCTACAGAACTTCACAAAAACCTAGATTATTGAGAAGAGACTTATGTTGTCGGTGGGTGATAATGATGGACAGTTTTTATTCTGCATCCTTCACAGGCTATAGATTTCTGAAGATTTTAACCTTAAGCAGGATCTCAGTTCAAAGTTCCCTCTGCATAGGCTCAAGATCTCAATTCCACACAGCTATTCCACTTCAAAATAACTTTTCCAAAGACTTAAAGATATCCTATTACAGTGATACATGCATATCCATGTTCATAGCAGCACAACTCACAATATCAACATCTTGGAAGCAGCCTATATGACCATCAACAGACGACTGCATTTTAAACTGTGGTATTTATACACAGAGAACTACTATGTCATAAAGAAGAATAAATTTGAGTCATTTGTAGGAAAATGAATTCACCCTGAGACCATAATATTAAGTGAAATAAATCAGACATACAAGTTTAAGTATTGCATGATTTCTCTTATCTGAGAAATCCAACATGTAAATAAAGAGCAGAATAAAAGCTAGATAATAGAAAATTGGGGGGAGACAGATCTTTCACAAAAGGAGAGGGGACAAAGTGATGGAGGTGGAGAGGGAGGGTAGAGGAAAGGGATTTAAAAAAGAATTAAGATGTGTTCTATACATGTACCAACTCCCCATGAGGAGAGTCATTATATGCCGCAAACATGTACAAATAAAAATAAAAATTTTTTTAAAAAGGTGTCAATTCCAGTGTTCCACTGAAAGTGGCCACTAGATTAGTTGATATTCTTTTTGTAATTTATGGATTCTTCATTATTTCTTGCATCCAAGGGCCTTTAAGTTTAAAAGATACTACCTGACATGTCTAGGCATTTATAAAAAGAGAATTTGTTCTTTTAGTTAACTAATTTGGCAGAAGTAAGTTTTCCTTACCTGTTTTAACCATTTACTCAGAAAGAAAAATAATTCTAAAAACATAGGTATGAACTTTGTTGCCTATTTTTCTTATCATTTCCAATATTATCAACAGTAAATTTTGAAGTCCTATTACATATAACCAGAAGCATAACCAAGGATGTCTAAGTCTTAGTTTTGCCATTCTTTAAAGAAAACAAAACTGAAAAACTTTTACTACTAAGCTCAGTGGAATATACAGCTGTTTCTTGGTATGCCCAAGGGAACTAGCTCTAGGACCCCTCACCTACCCCAAAATTTGCAGGTGCTGAAGTCTCTTACACATAAAATGATACAGTATTGTATTTGCATAACCTAAGCTATTCTCCCACATAACTTTAAATCATCTCCAGGTTACTTATAATATTTAATAGAATGTAAATGCTATGTAAATAGTTGTAACACTGTACTATTTAGGAAATAACAAGAAAAAAAATCTGTACATGTTTAGTACACATACAACTTTTTTCCAAAGTATTTTTGATCCATGGTTGACTGAATTTGTGGATGTGGAATCTGTGACTATGGAGACCTGATACACAAGTGAAACAGAAAAATTAGATACAGTAGGAACAGATCTCTAAATTATGAATCCAAACTTTGAGACTCGAGTTCTGCCTCTACGAGTAGGTAGCTAGGTGACCTCAAAGATGCTTGGTTCACAAATTTAATTCTTTCCATGATTCTAGTCACAAACTGAATTGGATGAGAACCAAATCAGATTCAATGATTAGGTTCAACGTTGATCTTACGAGGAAATTTGATTCAGTTCTCATTTAACATGGTTTACAGCCAGAATCATGGAAAGAATAACATTCATCAGCCAAGATACCACTCTACTAGGTGATATTCCTATTTACTTCATTTGCCATTCAATATCTGTCTAGTACTGTATCAACAAGAAAGCTATTTGACATTTTGATCCACTTGCTAAAATCTTTCTGATGTAGAAAGAAGTACAGTACTGTTGTTTGACACTAAACATAAATTTGCTATGTGTACTGCTTTTATTATTGCATTATAAATGACATGAAGGTATTTGTTTACTTATAAATTTGAAGTATATGGTAAGCCCCCCTTACTACTATGTTATCCTTCTTTTACTCTTTAAAAGAAAAAAAAGAAAAAAAAAATTTGAAGTATAAATTGAAAACAAGCCTATCCCACTGACCTGTCATTTCAGTAATACAAAATTCATGAAACACAATTTTATAGTTATAAGAAATTAACCGGCAAATAGCTGAACTATTCAGAGCACACTGTATACTATAAAGAAGATACTAATCAATTCAATCACTGCTAATCTTGTATAATGGTCTGTGTATACGTTAAAGTTTATATTTGGTTCTTCACAACAAATAATTCCATTGTATACATGAACATGATTCTTATACTTACCTCAATGGTTTACATATCAGATCAAAAGAACAATAAAGTTTAACTCATATTTTACCTTTTTTCTGGATCCTTTTGAAGGCACAATGAAATCATTTTTCTAAATGATTTTCCATATTTTTTCAGCATTTCTTTATCTTGAACACCAGTTTCCAAAGAAGGAGGATCATTCTGAAGTGTTAGCATTAAAACCTGTAAAAAATTTCAATAGTGTATAAGCTTCTGATGATTCAATAAAGTTTAACTACTGTGGTCAAGATTTCTCAATACAGCAAACCCCCTAGCCCAACATACAAGTACCTTTTACTGCCTCAATGTTCACATCTAGATCAATGATCTAGAACACACCATTATTCATATACCTTCCACATGAATAATATGCTATAGAAGATTGGCTTCCCAGAAAACTTGCCTACAAGATCCCTTGTATTGTATAACACTATGTCCTTTAGTTGGAACCCACTGTTCCTTCATGTCCCCCAGTCTTAATTCTTAAACACCTAAATCATCTTTTAAGAAAATATTAAAACTGCAGCAAAATTAAGAATACCATGTTGCTAACTTTACCTATTTATGGCCCTGTTTTTTCCTGACATCTTGTAATGTGGCCTTCTGTTCCAGAACCCCTCAAAAACTTCATTACAGAAATCACCAAGACTGTTCTAGTTAAAAAAGCCAGACTTTCCTGGTCCCCATTTTTGCTGTATCCCCTGTAGCAACTGACTATCTTGGTTACTGTGTCCAGGTTAAATCTCTTCTTTCTTTGACTTTCACAGCAATATACTAGTTTGATGCATACAGATACAGATAAAAGGAATGAAGGTCATATTTACAATATAAGATATAGGTTGTTTGTACTTTCTATATTGCTTGACTTTTTATAGAGAAGCATATGCCATTTTTGTAAATATAAAGCTAACAATAAAAAAATAAAAGGGGGCCATAATCAGTGTTATACTTTGATCTTGTGATTAAATTTATATTTACAGAAACAAAATTAATAAGGCCTGAAATGTTTTTCCTTCCAAGCAAACAGGTTAATGTATACGTCTGGCTACAATTACCAGAATACATAAAAAGTAAATCTCATTCTTCCCCACGCACAACCTTTTAAAAAATAAGCCATCTGATGGGTCTAAAAATAGCCTCCCACCTTGTAGCAGTAAAAACACCTCCTCTTCAAAACCTGGTAAACACTCACTCCTAAATCCTTAAGCCTGCAGAGGAAGGCCAGTCTTGAAATATAACTAAAGTTCAAGATTATCAGAATTATCACCAAATATACAGGTCAATGGGTATGCTTTGAATATGGAGACATACAAAAGTTTGTCATAAAATTTATTTACTGGTTTTGTCCCTCTCTACACTGTGAGAACCTTAAAGAGACACAATTACATCATTTATTAAGATGACACAGATGTAATTACCTAAGTGAAAATTTACAATAATGATTTTTAAACAAAATCATAGGGAATGTTATAAAGGAGGAAATCAAAGAAAAACAACTACAGCTATGAACAGAAAAACAGAATTCATGTACATAATATAACCAGGGAATGGTCACACAGATAACAATGATTTCCAGTGGTACTGACAGTACCATTTTGCAATATAAAAAACTCATTCTGTCACTAAACTAGCAGGATTATCAACCACAATTCAAATAACTACTAGATTAGTACACAGTAACAGTCCATTTAATTAAAGTTGCTTAGAAAAAAAAGTTGCTCAGTGTTCTACAACAAAGCAAAATTTGTTTTTATTTTTAGTCAATAAATAATGAGAATAAGAAGTATGTCTGGCACATGAACATTGTGCGTGGATTATTTATTATATAAAAAGCAATAAAAACAGTGCTTGACACAGATTAAGCACTTAATAAATGTTGACTATAATAATATGCAGTCCTTCCAACAACCTTATAAATAGAAATGACTGTCATCTCCAATAAGACTGCTCTGTTTTACAAAGGTGAGAAACATTAAAATGAGAGACGTTGGTCCATAATCTTACTAATCTAAGAACAGAGTCAGGAGAAGGTGAGACACAACATAAAAAGACCAACTACTATACAAGGTCAACCAACACTAAATACCAAATTCCATTATTTGAATTTTAACTCCTACAGGAGTCTGAAGGAGCACAGTACAGAACACTAAGGGTAAGAAAGGGTTCCACAAGGATGGTGGACTAGAAAGTACCAATTTCAGGCTGGGGGTATAGCTCAGCAGCACAGCGCCTGCCTGGCAAGTACGAGGTCCTGAGCTCGATTCCCAGTACCAAAACAAAACACAAACAAACAGAAAGTACCAACTTCTCTCCCTCACCTAAACAACTACAGGGCCAGAATCTGTTGAGTAAATATTTTGGAACTATGGAGTCGACTGAAGGGTTGCAACTTCAAGGACAGGCTTCGAAAGTGAACTAGTTAATTTCCGCTTAGCTCTGAAGCAGCTGCCCATCCTCCAGCCCAAACCCAGATTAAGAGCAGTGCATACACATATTCCAAGAGCTACCCCACACCTGGCTGCCAGGAGCCAGGTTAAAAAGAAGACCTTATCTTCTCAATATTGGAGATTGGTGCTCTCACTGCTCATGACTTCTGATCACGGAGGTGCATACTAAGAGATCAGCAGCTAATGTTGGTGCCAGCCTCTCTCCCTCTGTGTTATCACCATTTTCATTTCTCTCCTTTTGGGAGCCAAAAGTAAAAGAATGGGGAAAAATGCCTATAACAGAAAATTAGAGACCAACACTGAGAAGACATTAAGACTACACTCAAGGCTAATCTTTGGCATAGAGGCCACCTACAATAATTAAAAAACAAAATAACAAAAACCACTGAGTCCTAGGGTAGAAGAAGAAACTGAACTCCAGAGTTACCATATTATTCAAATGTACAGTTTTGAGCAATAACAAAAAATCATAAACCATAAGAGGAAATAATAAACTATGGTGCATTCAAAGGAAAAAAGAATTAGGCAAAGACTTTAAAACAATGGCCTTAAGAATGCTCAAAGAACTAAGAGAAGATGAGATGAAAGTCATGAAAATGATTTTTGAACAAAATAGAAATGTCAATTATGAGCTAGAAACCTCAAATGAAATTCAGAAGTTGAAAAACATAAAAGAAAGGGAAGGAATCTGAGCAAGCGAAAGGTGAGTGAACTTAAAGATAGAACAAAGAAACTGAGCAAGAAACAGAAAGGAAAAAGATCAAGAAAACGGAAAGTCTAAGGGACCTGTAGGACACCATTAAGAGGACCAAATATATACACTCTGGGAGTCTCAGAAGGAGAGAGACAAATGCAAGGGAAAAAGTGTTAAAACTTTTTCAAATTGCCAGGCATGTAATCCTAGCACTTGAGCCTGTGATCCCAGCACTCAGGAGGCTGAGGGAGGAGGATCACCATGAGTTTGTGGCCAGCCTGAACTACATACATACTGAGACCCTATCTCAAAAAAAAAAAAAAAACCAAGAAACAAAAAACTAAAACATTTCAAATCTGATAAAAGAGATGAATATAAACACCCAAGCTTAACTCCAAAAATATACTGCCTCACAAGTTGTGACAGTTGATTGATTGTGTCAACTGGAGAAGTTTAGTTAAGAGAAGCTTAACTGAACTAGCTCAACAATTCCACACCCTAGAGTGTGGAAGGCACACTCTAGGGCAGCTCATTGCCTGGATGCTATAAAGGGGAAATGAGGAAGGATGAGCTCCAGTCTTTGCCTTCACCTTAGGTGGCATCTCTTGGCTTCCACTGCACTCTTCAGCTTTCCATCACAGACCTTCGGCCTCCTGATATGGACTTGCACAGAGCACTGCAGTGAGCTTCCAGCCTTGGTCTGAATCCTTTGGTCTCCAGTGTGCAGACAGAGCCTCTGCACACTTCCTCGGCCAACTCTGTGGGTGACCATCGTAAGCTGATCTTGTAATTTCTTATACATTTGTATACCTTGTGTTATATCTCTTTCTCTAGTAAAACACTGACTGATACAGATTCTGGTACCAGAAGTGGCTCTAGAGAAACAGTATTATAATGATGCAAGTCTTTAATGGCTTTAGGGGTTCCTAGAGTTGGCTAATCTGATGAGACTAAATCTCTCCTAATTCTGTGGAGAATACCAATAATCCTTGGTGTGAACTGTTTGAATTAATATGCTATGTAGATCCACTTGATTATCTTAACTCACCACTTGTGAGAGGTAAGGAATTTAGCAACTCCATACATCAAAGTTTCAGTGGCCGAGTGGGAAATACAATGATGCTAGATGGATGGTCTGAGTATCTCTGGACAAACTAGTGAAGAAAAACAATGAGTTCAAAACATGCACAGGAAATCTAAAGTCTTCTCACTCTAAGGACAAATTTTAATAAAGGAAAATAAGGAGTTCAAAGATAAAAAAATTCCCCCTTAAGAAATTAAAAACTTTCTAAGCATGTCCTAAAAGAAAATCTCTCTCAGCCAAAAGGCTGAGATTGCTGGGCATGGTGGCGCATGCCTGTAATCCCAGCACTTGGGCGGCTGAGGCAGGAGGATTACTGCAAGTTCAAGACCAGCCTGGGCTACAAAGTGAGCTCAAGGCCAGCCTGAACTTCATAGCGAGACTCTTGTCTCAAAAATCTTTAAAAAAGAAATAAAGAAAGTCTGAGATTGTATAAACCCAAACAGGAGCCCTCATAATTCAACTGGCTGAACTACAACCTAAGTTTAATGATCAACCTCAAAGGGTATCTGAACCAAAGGTGAGGACACTCACCAGAAAAGAATGGGATCTCACAAACTGGGATAGAGACAAGTGAGAGGATCCTGAAGGAGGCTGAGGATGTTGAGCTCCTAGACACTAATGAGCTTATATTCCCAGAGGACGAGATTTCCTCACACACAGTGGCAGACGCAGCCCCACCCTCATCCCCTGCAGTGTTAGCCTCTTCTAGTATGCCTGAGGAAACTAATCCCCTGTTGACCAAGGAGGATAACGCTGACACTCCTCAGGACCCACCCTCACCACCCACATTTGCCTCTAGCACTATAACCAGGCTCAAGTCACAGAAGGCTCCTAAGGGTGAGGTATATAGTGTAACCCATGAAGAAGTCCACTACTCTCCTAAAGAACTTCTCAAGTTTTCTAACTGTTGTAAGCAGAGGCCTGATCAGATTTTATGAGTGTGAGATAATGGTGGCAA